TCGTGAGCCTCTTCTGCACTCTAAGTAGTTCCTTGTTTATCCTGAACTGGGGAGCCCAGCACTGGACCCAGTGCTGCAGAGGTGGCCTCACCAGGGCAGAGCAGAGGGGGAGAACCTCTGGCCACACTCTTCTTAATGATACCCTGATATAATAATGGTGCTTGGACACTAGAGTGTCATTGGTGGTCAGTACATGCCTGAGATGCCCCAAAGCAAAGTGGCTGAAGCTGTCCCTGCTGGCTGGTGCAGGTGAGTGACCTGCCTGGACTCCCCAGGGAGCTCTGTTGACAGAACAACTGCTGCTCTGGCTGTGAATTGAGGTTTCAGTGCAGCTGACAACTTCTCATGCCTGCAGAAACCAAAATGAGTTCTAGTTTCATTGCCTATAAGTTTAGTAAATAAGACAGTTGTTAATGATGCTGCATTGATTTATTTGTAAATTAGGATATGCTAGAATTAAAACTGCTTACACAGCATTGGTGCCTTTGGGGCTTTGTAGCATATATGCACTATGGTAATTCTTAGCTCTGTTCCTTTTGAAAAATAGGTTCATATTTCTGGATCTCTGTCTCTTTCCATCCACAAGATAGTTCAGTTTGAGCATCTGACACTTATTCCTTGTTTATCATGCTCCTTGATGCTGTATGCATTGTACTTTTTTCAAATCCATTCACAAATCAGAGTGACTTGCTATCCTAGAGCATAGTATCCAAAATTCCCAGCTCTTCACGTCTGCTGCACATTGCTGGTCACCAGAGAAGCCTTCTGATTGCATCTCTAACCTACCAAGCAGTAAAGCTCTGAGCAGTGTGTAAATCCCACTCAGGTCAACATTCTTCAGTTTTTCATTTCCTCTTTGCTCCAGTTTGATTCCTCAGTGGTAGATCTGATTTGCTGAACTGGTTTTAACAAGATCCTTCAGATACATTTGCAAGCAGATTAACTTGTAATGTTATTCACTTGTAATATTTGATTAATTTGATTACATTTGCAAGCAGATTAACTCGTGATATTTGGAGGTGAATTTGGTTTTGCTGGTCCATCTGAGGGAGAGACAGGATGGCTGAGAGTCAAGATCTGTAACAGCATATTGTTATTGGGTACAATGGAACTACAATCTAAGTATCCTTGTGACTAAGCCTTGAGCTCACTGTAGGAGCTACATCACCCTGTTCTCACTGCAGAAGCACTTAAAATGTTTGATTTCCATGCCTGAAGAAGTGGTAGCATGCCCATCCACACGCCAGCTCTGTTTGTAACTCAGCATTAAAGAAGAGATTAAAAGAGAAATCTTGCTTTAAATCTCTAAAGTTTGGAGGCTTTTAGAGTGGAAGTTGAAGGTGTATTTCAGTTATTTGGAAAAAGTGGTTATTTCTTAAGACTTTTAAGTTGCTTAATGTCCTTAATTCATGGATTGAGATGATTTGTCAACCAGTGGGCTTCCACATTAGGGATTCTTGCTGGGACAGCTCGAGTGCAGCTGCCATTGCACTGAGAGCTGGCTGGAGGCTTCTGAATGGCAATTAACAACCCTTCTGAATTATAGTGCTGCTGTTGCTGACGTACCTCTGCCCTCCTACTCGCCCCCCAACTCTGAACCATTGCAATCTAGTCTGATGCATCTTCTGTTCTCCTCCTAAGGTCAGAGACTTGTTTGCTCTGGCGCGTAAAAACGCGCCGTGCATCCTCTTCATTGATGAGATCGATGCAGTGGGGAGGAAGAGGGGACGGGGCAACTTCGGAGGGCAAAGTGAGCAAGAGAACACACTCAATCAGCTTCTAGTAGAAATGGATGGTAAGTACTGAGCTTCTGCTACTACATTCTAATGGCCAGTAGAAGGGAAAGCACTAACACGCTTACTGGTTAACTAATCTGTTAACCAAGGTTTGGGTGCCAGCTTAAATGGAGTGTGTTCCTTTCCATCCTAAAGTAAAGAGTGGTGATTCATCTTCCTGCAGCCTGATGGATTTGCTAAAATTCATTCAGAAATAAAGAACCATCATTCTGCATCTGATAACTGTTAAAGCAGAACAAGCAAAAAAAAAGTTAAAAAATTATTTGCCTGTTAAAGCAGAACAAGCAAAAAAAAAAATTAAAAAATTCTTTGCATGAGACCAGTCTGTCTGAAAAAAAAAAAAACAAAATCCAAGCTATCCATGCTGGTTCTGCAATTTCCAGAGCAGTGAATCTGTTATTGCATTTTGAAGATAAAGCAGGATTTGATACAGTACTTCACAATGCAGAGCCCAAGGCCATTTTGTTGCTTGTTATGAAAAGCTGGACAATACTCTAATAACTGATAGTATTTTCAGCTTTAAGCTCATCTGTTTAAACTCTCAGTTCTTAGCTGGCCCTGTAAAGTGGACAATCTTTTTATTTCTTTTTTCATGGGAATTATACTTACACAGATTTTTCTCTTTATTATGCTTCTTCAACAGGATTTAATACAACCACAAATGTAGTAATTTTGGCAGGTACCAACAGGCCAGATATTTTAGACCCTGCTCTGATGAGGCCAGGACGCTTTGACAGGCAGATTTACATTGGTGAGTTTGATTTGCATTGCTGCATACCTGAGTGCCACTGAAACCTCTGCAGCTGCTTACACACCTCAGTGCCTTGCACATGTCCAACTAGAGCGTATGTGAAGAGTAAAACGTGCACTTTTTCATCTTGCAGGACCCCCAGATATAAAAGGAAGAGCATCTATTTTCAAAGTTCACCTTAGGCCTCTGAAGTTAGACACCATCTTAGATAAGGATAACCTGGCGAGGAAGCTCGCGTCGCTGACGCCCGGTTTTTCTGGTGAGTGACTCCTCATGCTGCTTTGCTTCTGCCTTTGCTGTAGGAGCTGTAGGTATTTTATTTCCCTGCTACCTGGGGTGTTTTTTTGCACCTGATCTTCTGGAGGGCACTCTTGTTTTATTTTATTTAGGAAATAAAAGATGGTGTCCAACCATTAACCTAACTACCAAGTCCACCACTAACCCATGTCCCTCAGCACAACATCTACAGGACTTCTAAACACGTCCATAGCACCACATCTACAGGACTTCTAAACATGGCCATGGATGGTGGTACAACCACTGCCCTGGGCAGCCTGGGCCAGGCCCTGACAACCCTTGCAGGGAAAAAATTGTTTCTCTTGTCCAACCTAAACCTGCCCTGTCACAACATGAGGCTGTCCTCTCTTGTCCTATCACTAGTTACTTGTGAGAAAAGATCAAGCCCTGCCTCACTCCAGCCTCCTTTCAGGGAGCTGTAGAGAGCAGGAAGGTCTCCCCTCAGCCTCCTCTTCTCCAGGCTAAACACCCCCAGGTCCCTCAGCTGCTCCTCACAAGCCATGTTCCCCAGAGCCCTCACCAGCTTCACTGCCCTTCTCTGGACCCGCTCCAGCCCCTCAAGGTCTTTCTTATCCTGTGGTGCCCAAAACTGACCCCAGGACTCAAGATGTGGCCTGTCCAGTGCTGAGTCCAGGGTAATGATCCCTTCCCTGCTGGCCACACTATTTCTGATCCAAGCCAGGCTGCTGGTGTCCTTTCTTGGCCACTTGAGCACACAGTGGCTCACATTCAGCTGGCTGTCAACCAGCACCCCCAGGTCCTTTTCTGCCAGGCAGTTTTCAACCACTCTTCCCCCAGCCTGGAGCAACAACCCACAGGGAGTTGTGGCCCAGCACATACTGGTACAGCATGAAATTCCCTTTGCCTGTTTGAGCAAGTGGATTTCTGTGTCTCAAGTTTTGTCTGCCTTGATGAGGGTGATGTACCAACTGCCAGCACCTCCTTTGTCTCCAGCAAGAGCAATCCAGAGATCCCTCAGTGCTCTCACTCTTGTGTTTACCTTCCTTTTAATAAGTTTGTTGAATTCTTTGAATGCTACTAGAGAAAACCTGGCTTTTGTGGAGTTTCTGTGCACGTCCTGTAAGGGAATTTCTGTTGCTGGATTTAAAAACTTCTCCCTGGAACACGTACTGTAAACTTGTATTCAGCTAGGAATCAATTTAATCCATTTAAAATCTCTGTTGTCGGGTAGTTGAATTTTTCACTGTGTTCATGGTCTGCATAGAACTGGTTTCCTGAGGTCTGATTGTCAGTGCTTCTGGCAATTACAGTGATGATGTTTAAACTAAGTTATCTCAATAGCATTACTGCAAATAATGTTAACCAGAAGTGGATGGCTTGAAGCCAGTACTGTGAAAGGTTAGCCTCTGGAGGAAGCCTGAGCTATAGGAGATCTATACATAGGAAATTTATTCTGCTAAATATGTACTAGTCTAAGTATAGTCTGTTGCAGACAGAAAACTTGGGGAAGGTAAAAAATACCAAATAAGTCCTTCACTGGTAAGAAGCTCCATTTGGTAGCTGTCTATGCAGGAGAAAAATCCCAACGCCTACAACTGTAGCACATGTGTTTAAATATCTCTTAAAGAATTATGCTACATGTAGTGAACTATTTCAGAGAGCATTACATCTACTTCTTAAGCTCTATAAGAACCTATAGAACTCTGATTCTAGAGCTAATTCTTCTATGCTAGATTGAAAGAAAATGGTTGAAAATAATCAGTAACTTGTGCTGGCTCTGCTTTTAGGTGCTGATATTGCTAATGTTTGCAATGAAGCTGCTTTAATTGCTGCAAGACATCTCTCAGATGCTATAAACCAAAAGCATTTCGAGCAAGCAATTGAAAGAGTTATTGGAGGTAGGTGAATCACGTCAATCATTTTGTAAAAATAGTCATAGGACAGGTCACTTCTTTTTTTATATATCACTAGAAAGCCATGTCAGAGTCTGTCCTCTGTTCTTCAAGCTTGTGGGTTTTTTCCTCTCCTAAACAAGAGATTTAGTGAAGTAGTATCCTGTCTACATTGCTGACTTCTGTAATGGAGAAGGGGGTGGGGAGAGGAATTTTGTGGGGACACTCTTCTAATTTCTTCAGATTTCAGGAGGAATAGCTGCTTGTGTTCAGCAACACTTGTAACTCCTGTTAGCCTGGGATAGTCTGGAATTTGAGTTTTAGAGTGCAAATGTTTTGTTTAAATGTTGCAATATTCCTAAGAACTTTGAAACTAGAAAAGTCTAATCAAGGACAAGGTTATACTAAAACCTGGAAGATAAAAACACTTTAAAACTTGCAAGTTTTGGTTTCTTAAACTTTTTCAATAGATTGCATTTCTTAAGTATTGCTCATTGTCTTTCTAAATGAGATAAGGATTTCTGAGGAGAAAAGTATGCCCAAAACAATTCATGAAATTTATTTCATAAAGGTTTGGAAAAGAAGACTCAGGTACTACAGCCAGAGGAGAAGAAGACAGTGGCATATCACGAGGCAGGGCATGCAGTTGCAGGATGGTTTTTGGAACATGCTGACCCTCTCTTAAAGGTAAAGGAAACCAACATGAACTAGTAATCTAACAGTAGCATGGACAGCATCTTGTTCTTCACACCCCCCACCCACCCCCTGCAATGCTGAGAGGGTTTTAAAGTATGTCATCTCACAAAAGCCAGTGCATGGACATTTTAGAGTACTTTTTTTGGTTTACTACTTGTAGCTTTCTTAACTGTTTCTGGCTTAGCTGTTAGAGGGTTTGTACTACAAATGTCTTTGGAAAGGGAAGGGGATGTGATCTTCCATGGCCTGCTTTGCTAGCTGCTTTTAGGAACACTAAAAATGCATAAATGCTATTTCTATTACAGAATACTTAAAGCCCAGTACTAAAAGAACTGCATATTTTCACTAAAGGATTTTTTTAAATACCATACAGTCTTTGGAAGAAGATTACAGTGGTCTTACCTTTCTTTTCCAGATATTGTAGTAGTTGTTATCCCAGTTTAGAGGTAGCCAGGGCTTAAAAGGATAAATCACAATGAGGGCAAAACAGTAAATAAAAATAATATCTGAATTAAACTCCAAGGGTGAGTACAGTGTAGGCTGATTAAAAATCAAGTCAAGACAAAGAATGCTTTATGGTTTTTTTAACACCATTTAGTTCTAGCAATCTGTTACTTTGGTTTGTAGGTATCCATTATCCCACGTGGTAAAGGACTGGGTTATGCTCAGTATTTACCCAAAGAACAGTATCTTTACACCAAAGAGCAGCTACTGGACAGAATGTGCATGACTCTGGGAGGAAGAGTATCTGAGCAAATCTTCTTTGGAAGAATTACAACTGGTGCCCAAGATGACCTGAAGAAGGTGACCCAGAGTGCATACGCTCAGGTCTGTGCTTAAGCAAGACTTTTTGTCCTTAGTTTTCTTTATCTACCTAACACTAATATTTTGAAGGGATGCAATTTGCTCAGGTATGAAGATGCAACTTGGAGTCCCATATGTAACAAAATGCAGAAAACCTTCTGTTTAAGCACTATTTGCTGTCGATTCAGGCTGCTGAAGTTAAGACATTAGTTTGTTTGTATCACATTAACTAGTGCAGAGGAGTAATTTGAAATCCTATCAATGTAATGACTCACCTAAGTGTAGCTCTGTGCTCCACAGGGGTGTGTTACTCCAGTCCCTGCACCAACACAAAAGATACTGTTTTGTAAGACACTTGGAGGGTGAGCAGGAGAGACATTTTAGAGCAGACCTCTCCACCCCTGCACAACACTTACCCATACCTGCTCCCTGCTCTTTGGTGTGCCACTTGTTGCCTCAGTTCTGGAAGTAAATGTGTAATGAGAGCCTGTAAATCATAATCTTATGGGATCTTCAGTCACTCTTGTTCAATTTTAAGTTAAACATTTAAGTATAGACTTTAGTTCACATTAATCAGATGTATCATCCCCAGAGAGAACTGGGGGCTTACATAAAAGTACTGAATTTTTCTTAAGCAGGTTAAGATGCTTGGTTCTCATGCCAAGATCTCTTTGAATCCTGGATATTCCTATCACACCTGTATTGACCTTGCAAGGCCAAGCCGAGGAGTCCTGTGTTAGCAACCATCACATTGATAGTGGCCATGGGGTGAATACAGAAATAGCACATTGAACTTATTTCTGCTTCTGCTGGAGTAAAATGCCACTTAAACCATCCATATTTGGCAACCAGATGAGTCAATATTCAGTAATTAATTGAGCAAGATAAGAATCATTTTCACCTTTGTAGGAGAGTGTCTTGGGATGAAGTATAGCCTATGATTTTTGCATAGAATGGTATCAAGACCCTTTAATCCATAAGTCACTTATCTATATGGGTGAGTGGAATATGCTGGACTTTGGAAGATTGGAAAAATGCTTATGCCTGGTAAAGGAAAAGAGTTTTAGTGCTTAGTGAAGGCAGAAGTGTTTTCCTGTAATATCTTAGTATTTAAACAGCAAAACATCATGTATATTGTGAGTAACCACCTTTAAATGGTGATACTTGTGTCCTTCAGTTGAATCATTAAAAAGAAATAAGTGAAATTCAGCTAAGGTACTTTAGCTTAGGTAGCCCTGAGTGTTCAAGGGAGGGTTGGGTCAGACCAAAATATGGGGTCAGACTGAAGAGACTTCACCCTTTCAGCTTTGTTTACCATATTTTACGTCAACATCCCTTAAAACCTTACTCTCTCTCCTTTGGTCGACTTCTTTTTTTTCCTCTCTTTTTGTCCCAGATCGTCCAGTTTGGTATGAATGAAAAAGTGGGGCAGATTTCCTTTGACCTGCCTCGTCAAGGGGACATGGTGTTAGAGAAGCCTTACAGCGAGGCCACGGCCAGGCTGATAGACGAGGAGGTGCGGTCGCTCATCAACGTCGCCTACGACAGGACGCTGAGGCTCCTGACCGAGAAGAAGGCAGAGGTGGAGAAGGTGAGGTGGCAGTGTGTTTAGCTGCTGAGCCAGAATCTGGGTTGAGCTGAACAGATTAAAAATAACGACCGTGAAAGTATATGAGGAAGTTTGCTCAAAAACTATCTGATGTCATTTAACCTCCAGAAGAATCTTTCTACTGTGTTCCTTCCCTGTGCCCTGGCTGCTCATGGTCTGCCTCGCCGCAGCTGAGATTGCCCTTGTGCGTGTTCTCTTCATCCACCCTAGAAACCCTGGTACAGCAGAGGGATAATTTTCCAGGATAGGCACTTGATAGGTTTACTGAGAGACAAGTCTGTAAGGGTTCAGTAAATGGTGATGTAGGTCACCATGCCAAAAAAGCTCAGTGAGCATGGTTTGTGCTGAACGAAGCACGAGAGCTGAGAAGTGACCCACGAAGTTTACAAACTCCACTTGTACCATATTGTGCTCATTGATATTTAAGGGTGCTGTTTAACAGCAGCCCTGTTGAACTCTCTGGTTTGATAGGAAGGGGGTGCTTGTTTTCAGCTACAGCTTCCTGTCTTGCATCTGGAGCCCTTTGGCAGCAGCAAAAAGCTGCTGTTCTGAAGCAACAGTAACTGCCACAGCAGCCCATAGGGACAGCCCTTCCCAAGTGTCAGGAGCAGGATGGAAAAAAGGGTGCTTTCCTCCCTTGTGAGCATCTAGGTAGCAATCTAAGTGAACTCTGAGCAACCTGGGTTGTTACTTTTCCCCATCAAAATTAATCAGTGCTCAGTTTGGTCCCAAACTGCCTTAACAAACTCTCTGAAGGAAGAAAGCAGAACAGCTGAGCTGGTGTGTGATGCAGCTCCTCCCTCTTGCAGGTCGCCCTCCGACTGCTGGAGAAGGAAGTGCTGGATAAAAGCGACATGCTCGACCTGCTGGGCCCGAGGCCTTTCGCAGAGAAGTCAACTTATGAAGAGTTTGTTGAAGGGACAGGGAGCTTGGATGAGGATACTTCACTACCAGAAGGCCTTAAAGACTGGAACAAAGAGCGTGAGAAAGAGAAGGAGGAGACGACGGCCGAAGAGGTGGCTCGGCAGATCAGAGGAGGGATGCCCTTTTAACTGCACAGCACCCAGATTGCACTCTGGAAGAGAAAGTTTGTACTAGTTTGTACTTCAAAACAAACAAGATATTTATTCAACCAAACTGTATTAGGGATGGGTGGAAGAGTGATCTCTCGTGATGAGATAAGGATATTCTGCTCCCAGTTGTCATCAGTTCCCTGGTAAAAGGTGATCTGTCTTTCATTTATCAAGCAGAAAAACATACATTGGATTTGAGCTGCAGTGGAATGCCAGAACTGAGCCTCTCAAGCTTTGAAACAGTTCAAATTCATGCACAAACTTCGTGGCACTGGTTTCTTTTTATTTTTTAAAATGTATGTAAGCTTACAAAAATTAAAGTCTTTCTGATTATTAATCTAAAGTATACCTGTATGTGACCCCGTTTCAAAAAAAAACCCAAACCAATCATACAAAATGCCTTGTTAAAAAACACTAGCTTTGCAAAACTGCCAGCTCTTTCATCTGACCCTTTCCCCCTCCAATTTAATTTTGAGTTTAGAGTTTGTCTACAGAGAACTGCCAGGTAAATTGACAGTGAAAGTGGACACCCACTTACATGTCTTAAAATGTACTCATGGTTCAGTGTCTTTAAATTAAGTCTGAAACTCAGTTTGGCTCCTGCAGTTTTATTAGTCAGTTTTTTACTGAGTTCTGTAAGATATTGAACATACAAATGTGTTGTGTAAATACAGTTTGAGTCAATAAAATCAGTACTTTTCTGAACAAAGCTTGTGCTTTATATTTCTGATATTTTTGGTGTAGGAATCAGACCAATATGAAGCTCCCCCTTCAGCATAAGGTTTTGTTAATTTAAGGTAACGAGGTTGTGCTCGCTAGTACCCAAGGCAGCAGCCAAATCCCAAGATGCTAAATGGAACTGTCAGTGTTTCATATTGGTTTGTTTAACCTAAAGCTATTTATTTTTTCCTCTGCTTAGTTGAATCTTACTGAGGTCATCTGCTTCTGGTTGTCTGCTGCACATAAAGGATTTATTAGCTGGAGAATTCAGCTGTTCAGGAATTATCTGGGGATCTCCCTGTCCCAGGAGAAGAGAGGGAAGTGTGGCTGGAGGGTGGTGGTGAGTGAGGAGGGAGAATGAACCAAGTGTCTGCCAGAAAGACAAGTAATCCTTTAAGGCTTCTGACTGAGAGGGCAGGTTAAGGGACTAACTAGTGATTGATTCCATCTGGATGTTGCAACATGCTGGAAGGCAGCAGGATGACAAAGGAAAAAAGTTGCCTCTGAAAGGTCAGACACAAGCTCTTCGTTGGAGTTAGTTGAAGTAAATTGTTTATGGAAATTATTCTTCTGGGATTTTTTTCTTTCCCTCATGATGAAGCTGTTGCCACCTCTGTTGCTCAGCTTAACAGTGAAAAGGAACAAGGAAACAGCAAATACAGCAACTCAGGATATATTTAATGGGCATTTTTAGCTGCCAAACACCACTTCTGTGCATCCTGGCTTCACAGTTGTGGAATGAATGGTAAACAGGAAAACATCCTGAATAAATCTAAACTTCAGTTCCTGTATTATTGGAATCAAAGTTTAGAATTATTTATTGCAGCAGGAAACTTGTTTTATAGAACTAAACTCTTGCTCACAGGGTGAAGCAGTGACTGATTCCTGGGCATGTGCTCTAGGGCTGCATCTTACCTGTGTTCTGTGATAATGCCCTGTTTGCTTGGGTTTGGAGCAGGCAACTTGTAGCCAGCACTGAGAATTAAATGTGCTTATGTTCTAATTGTCAGAATTCTGCATTTCCTCATTCCTTACTTAAAAAAAAAAAAAATTGAAAAAAAAATCCCAGAAAAAAAAACCACAAACCACAATCACCCACCCTCCACCCCCCAAAAAAAAACACTCCAACCTAACTCATCACAATGGCACTACCAGACTAAAAGAATTGTCTCCTCTGGAGGAAATATTTCCTCTTGCTCCCTGTGTCTGCTGCCCACTTCTAAATTTCACTCTTGTTTAGTTGCAGCATGCAATTAATGAGTGTGTGATAGTATCAAGGAGAGGCAAATCCCTCTGCCTTGCTTTTGGAGCATCACCTTCCTTTGTGTAATCTGACCTCAGCGACAATTAGTATTTTTGTGCCACAAGTGGTGCAATTGGACTGTGTTGGGATTTTGGAATCAAAAACAAAGATATGAAAATAATAAAAAAAAAAAATCTGTTTATGCAAACTTCTTTCTTTAAAGAGGGCTGGTGGCTTCCTCCTACTCACAAATTTAAGACTTGATTTAAGTTAAATGAAGAAAATCAAGTTCAGTCTGTGCGGTGGCCGCCAGCGAGGCCGGATTAAGTTTTGGTGCAACTTTTCACTTTAACTTCTGCAGGCTTTGGACAGAGACTTGGCAAGGAGCTGGCCCCTCAGGTTCAGTTCCTGGTCCTGCAGCACCTTGCCGTGGCACACACCTGCTCTCTGTGGCCAGGTGCACAGCAGGAAAAGGGAGAGAAAAGGAGGGTGGGCTAGGCACAGAAAGACCAAGTGTAAGAAATGAAGTTAAAAAACTAGAGGCAAAATGAGAAACAGGTAAGTGAGGAATGTCAAAAGAGGAACAAAACTAGGTGGGACTCAGAAGATAGATAGATTTCAAAATAGAAGTTTCCAGGAAAAAAGCAGGAGGTTATCTGAAAGGAAGTGCAACTGCAGGAATTGTTCACCAAACCTACGAAAACAGTTTTCAGTTTTATGTCAGGAGAGGAACAGGAAGGGTTTGTGCCTGCCATGGATTCATTGCTCATTGCTTTCATGCAAGCTGGTCCTCTGACTGTTCCTGCTACAGGCTTCTGGGTTCATTTTGGTGGGTTGATTTTTATTCTCTAAGATCAGATGGAGGATCTGTCTCTTTTTTCCCAAAGAGAGCATGAGTTTGCCTCCCCTGCCTTCACACACTAGAAAGCTTTTCACATCAGAGTTGGAAGTAAACAACATGGTGAAGACTGGCTGGGTCAAAGCAGGATCAGAGGGCTGGATTCCAGAGTCTATACTCTGGATTTTTGCAGCAGTGTATAAAAAGCAATAAAGAACAGGCTGGTTTACCAAGTCAGTAACTCAGATATTTAGGAACTCCAACATCCCTGGCATTTTTGAAGTATTAACTTTTTTTTTTTTTCTTTGCAGTAGTATCAGAACCTGGCATTTTTGAAGTATTAACTTTTTTCTTTGCAGTAGTATCAGAATTACAGCTGGGACCCAGTAGTGAAGTTGGTATTACAACAACTTCATTACAGCTCCACAAGCTGCAGGCTGGGTGGGTTTACATTCAGGAGGAGCTGTGCTAGTGCTCTGATGGACAAGTGTGTGCCAGGGCTGCATGAGGGCAGGCACTGAGCCTATGACACTTTCTCCCCCCTCCTTGGAGCTAACAGCAGGCCATTTACAAAGCATCAGGTAAATTAACTTTAATGCCTTTATTCCCTGTGGATTTTGCTTTGTATTGTGCTCAATGTTGGATGGGGCTCTGAGGAACCTGCTCTCTCTAGCTGCAGGTGTCCCTGCTCACTGCAGGAGCACTGGACTAGATGACCTTGAAAGGTCCCTTCCAACCCAAACCAGTCTGTGAGTCTATGAAATGTTAATTTCTCCTAAATGCACATGGTGTGTTCACTTAATCTCACGCTCAGCACACAGCCACCCCACTGATGAAATGCACATGTAGAGGTGCTGTTGCTCCTCAGACATCCTTTGGGCAGCAGAAGCCATCGTGACCCCTGGGAATTCACTGACTCCACCATGACCCTTCAGAAGACAACCAGCCATCCCTCCCACTCTGCCTGGGCCAAAGCCAGTTTGGTTACAGTGTTCTGCCTCAACCCCTGAAGTCACTTTATACAGAAAAAGCTTGTACTGGATTAAAAAGCAGTTTAGTTCATTTCTGTGCAGTATCAAACTGGGCAGATGCTTCAGCTTATGTGGTTAACAGCTGCCAGCCTCGTGGCCCTCACGAAAGCCCTGCCTGGTTCCCTGGCTCCCAGGGACAAACAGCAGCTCCTTGGGAATCATGCTGTTTGCAAAGTGCCTGTTTGAGAACTGAGCAACGCTTTCGCTTAAAAAGCGCTTCTGCAGGCCAGCAGAGTTCCTGAAACATCTAAAGTTTGGCTTTCAGGAGGGTTTCTCCTTTGTTTGCTTGTTTTGTTGCCTAGTGACTGACCTAAATAAGGGACTCGGTGTGGACAGCGTGTTCTCTGGGGGAGGCTCTCCAGTGGCGAATTGCTATCAGCACCACGGGGCACGCACGCAGCCTCGGCCCAGGGGTAGGACCCAAACCCTCTGTGGGCAGGACAGACCCTCTCTGCGTGGCACCCAGACCCTCTTTCAGCTTTAGAACAAGCAGATAAACTGTTGTTCCTCTCTCATTTTGCCAGCTGGTTTGAATAACATGGATAGATACCTTTATTTGTACTTTAGCCATAGATCTGAACCTTTCGTGGTAACCAGACGTCCAGAGCATCTGTAGGTGTGGTGAGCTTGATGATGCAAGGACTGGAAGTCCTGAGAGTTGGGCTTGTTCAGCCTGGAGAAGAGAAGGCTCTGGGAGGCCTTCTTGGGGCTTTTCTGTACTTAAAGGGGGTCTCTAAGAAAGAGGGGGACAGTCTTACTAGTAGGGCCTGTTGTGACAGGACAAGGGGTGATGGTTTTAAACTAGAAGGGGGGAGATGTAGACTAGGAAGAAGAAATTTTTGATACTGAGGGTGGTGAAACACTAGCCCAGGTTGCCCAGAGAGGTGGTGGAGGCCCTGTCCCTGGAGCTATTCAGTTAGGCTTGATGGGGCTCTGATCAACCTGCTCTGGTTGCAGATGTCCCTGCTCACTGCAGGGAGGTTGGACTAGATGACTCTGAAAGGTCCCTTCCCACCCAAACCATTCTATGAGGTTATAAACCTAGGCAGTGAGATCTACTGACACCACCCATGTCCCCTCTGCCACCATGTTCTGTGAGTCAGCTCCATGGGCTGGGTGGAACAGCAACAGGAACAGCACCAGTAATGGCACAGCCAGGAGAGCAGCAAGAAACTGGGATGCCACTTCAAACCCCAAGAGTCCTTAAAGAACACATCACAACCAGACAGATTTCAGACATATAATCTATGATAGTTCAGCAGCAAGCAATGAAGTCACCTACTACAAACGCAGCCTCTGGCCTGCAGCTCCTGGAGGGCTCTACAGCATTGACTGCCCAAAACACTCTTGCTTGAGAGGGTACTAATCTCCTTTATTTTGTTTCTAGAGGACTGGAGTCAAATATCACTGTTAATATTTCCTGTACAGAATAGCCAAAACCTTTTTCTTCTCTTCATTATGCATAAATTTTGTTCCTGGCAGTTCAGTATTGTCCATTTGGTACAAAATGAATACTTGAAACCCACATGATTTCCTTACTCATAATGGGACAAAAATAGCGCCGCTCTGTTTGGCAGATTTTGGTGCCTATTTTACATCTTGTACAGCTTTAGGGATGAATTTTACTTGTACAGCTTTCGTTTGGAAACAAAGATCCCAAACTAGCAATCTCAGTCTTCAGACTCTTATGCCAAGGTCTTAGCTGAATGCCTCATGAACAGAAATAGCCTGATTTCCAGAAATGCTGAATGTCCTCAGTTCTCAGTGAGCTCTGAAGAGCACCTCTAAGACCTGAAACTCATGCTCCTTTTTTCCTTTTTTTTTTCCTTTTTGAAGCTTAAATAAAGATTCGTAGCTTAATTATTAGAAATCCAGATTTGAGAATTTGCCCTGGAAAACAGTGCACCTCCTTTCTTTATTCATTGAGCTCTTCTTCGTCATCTTCAAACGCCTCCTCTCCATCGTTTGCTGTCGCTTCTTGGTACTGCTGGTACTCCGAAACCAGATCGTTCATGTTGCTCTCTGCTTCTGTGAATTCCATCTCATCCATGCCTTCCCCTGTGAACCAGTGGAGGAAGGCCTTCCTCCTGAACATGGCCGAGAACTGCTCCGAGATCCTTTTGAAGAGCTCCTGAATGGCAGTACTGTTGCCGATGAAGGTGGAAGCCATCTTGAGGCCACGAGGAGGTATGTCACACACCGCCACCTTGACGTTGTTGGGGATCCACTCCACGAAGTAACTGCTGTTCTTGTTCTGGATGGCCAACATCTGCTCGTCCACCTCCTTCATGGACATGGGGCCACGGAAGACGGTAGCCACCGTCAGGTA